GCGATATTTCTGCACATTATTCACTCTTCGCTCCTTCTATTCCGTCTATCATTTCTCTTTCTCTTTTCGTTAGGTGGTAACGAGACGCTCGTCTGACTTGCCGTTCCCGGAGCCGGGATTCCTCCGCTTTTGAGCAAAGACGATAAGAACCAGAGAACGGTAGTTTTTTTCATTTTCTTTTTCCGAACGGCTACCACGTGACGAGGAACACTAATGTACAGCTACGCTTACAGATAAGAACTAGTTGAGCAGAGAAGTCGAAAAAACAACGACAGCGGGCCGCGTCGGGCGGGCGTCCCGCCGATATTGCTACCGAGCACGCGATCTCTTCCTTTCACTCTATCGTAATTATTGCGATGAACCGTGTGGATAGAAAATGTCCGTGTCACATGAATATTCTGGACGCGCGGACAGATTAACGAGAAATCGAGGGATCGTCGATGGGGGGCGCGCTGATTCGTCCAACGAGGGTGTCCGCTATCGAAAAACGCGACGCGAGCCAGCGGACGCAATGGGGCTGAGAACAAGGACAGTGGTTTCGAATTGTATTTTTTGTGCGAACGAGATCAATGTTGGCCACTTGTGTTGGCCGGTGAGTTCTCTCTTTATTACTCTTTTGCTTTTCGCATTCTGAGCCTTGTGAGTTCTCGCGGATCGCGGTTTTCATTCAAACGCGACATCGCGCAGCCGTGGCTCCCCTACAGCTGACCAATGCTTTTGATATTATTTAAAAACACTATTAACAATACAATTTTTTTTCGTGTTCTGTTTGCTTCTCGTAGTAAAAGTTAATAGAGAATAGTATAACATCAAATAGAAGAGTATAAAGAACCATGCTGGCGTGTAGAGATAGACATTAAAGTAGGTAATAGGTAAGAGGACAATAGATTACGATATCAATAATTCGTAATAACTTTTCACTTTTTTTTTCGTTTATCTTTACCTCGTTTTAAGAGTTAATTTCCTCGCGAGTTTTTTTTTAAACGTTGATGTATTGTTTAGTAGACTTTTTTTCTCTTTAATACAGTATTTTGAGCACATTCCTCAGGTGTATAACCACGCTACACTTTCTTCGCCGAGTTGTACCAATATATCCCCATGTCAGTTTTGATTACTCGACCCGACCCGACGGCGAACGATCACCGTAAGAACGAAAAAGTCACAGCGAAAGCGAAATGAAATCATAATTGCGGATAATGTTTAAAGAAAAAAGATGTATTTTAAGGAGGACTCAATTACAGATTCGAACAGTAAGTATTAATAAATAAATTGCCTAAGGTAACATTCATGCGTTCCGAACGAGACAACTAAATCGTACGTCAAGTAAAAATCGAGCGTTTGTTTTTTGAAGGGATGGGGAGAGTGGGTGGAGGGCATGAACTTAAAGCACGCAGGTCGATGAAAACTTAAATTTTAAAATCGCGCGCACGCTGAGCAAACGCGAAACAAAAGAACCTTGTACTAGGTTTAAACGCGTGTATACGTTCGATTGATCATCACCATGCACACGATGTTGTCACTCGGTCGAAAATGGCAGTACGATATCGGTACAACTCACTTAGTTGATGGCACGGG